TGATAAAAGTGATTCGGGGCCTGGGAGACAAGACTAGAAGAACTAAGGTTATTTAGTTTGGAGAAGAGAAGATTGAGGCGGGGGGCAGGAGGAAGGATGTGGGATTTGACAGGTCTTCAAAAACACAAAAGCTGATTACAGAGAGGATGGAGTTTGGCTTTTCTCTTTGCCCACAGGGGACAGAACTAGAAGTAATGGGCTCAAGTTGCATCAGAGGAAATTTAAGGTAGGAGATAAGGAAGAACTTTCTGGTTATGAGGGTGGTTTAGCACTGGAACAAGCTACCTAGAGAAGTTGTAGAATTTAGACATTTGGCTGAGAGGGTTTAGTGAGGGATGCTCCCGCCTTGAGCAGGAAAAATATCACAGAAGGATAAAATGATTAGGAAGTTGGAAGAAATTACACCCCCAAAAAATTAACTACCACTACAACAGTAAAGAGGAGGTCTGAATGGAAGTTTGTTGAAACTTTCTGGTTAGAAAATAGCATCTTATTAAAACGGAAACAGTTCACCAGCATGGACTAGTTCCAAGTCAATTGTTATTGGTAAAGGTTCTGACAGGCATGAGATGAACCACAGAAGGACCAACAGCCCAGTGCAGAGGTCAGCAACATTTTCTGGCAGTGGCTCAGAATGACCCAGCTTGGGTCAAAGGTGGGCCAGTGCTAGGACCTGGCTGCTGCTCCTCAGTCATGGCACAGCACAAGCAAAGCTCCCCACTGTAGCATAGCACCCTGCCACCAAACACTGCCAAAACCCCAGCTCTGCATAACAGATTCAGTCCACAGGCCATAGGTTGCCAACCCCTAGTCAGGCACTCACTTGGACTGCAGGAGAATGGCAGAGCAGGGACTTGAATCTAGACCACCAAAAGGCTAAAGGGGTTGACCACCAAGCTATTAATTATTCTGGTGTATGGGTTTTCAACACTAAAGCCCTCAAGAACTTTTAAAAATCTTTAAATTTCCCTGACCCTTCCCTTGGCATTCTTCACCTAGTACCACTTTACAGCTCCGTTAAGTTTCAGCTAAACATTTCAAGAACTTGGTCTATACATTCTTGAAATACATAAATGTTGTGAGGAAACAGAAGTAAAAGGGGTAATACTTAGGGGTGCGCAAAGCGGGCCCTATTCAATTCAGATTTGGCCCAAATCAGGGACAGTGATTTCATTCGTTGATTTGGATCACTGTTCCTGATTTGATTCAGCTAAATTCAAATCTGAAGATCCGATGCCAATTTGGAGAATCAGCGATTCGGACATAGGCACAGCTTTAAAAGTTTTTTCTAGATACCTTGAGGTAGCAGGTGCGGCTCATAATCACTGCAATGCTGGGACGCACAGACCATCCCACAGGAGTGCTGGGGGCCCTCAACGTGCTCAGCAGCAAACCCGAAAGTCGACTTGAAGTACTTCCAGTCCACTTCCATGTCTGCCAGGGAGTGTGCTGGGAGGCCCCCCTGCCTTGGAGATTGGCCACAGGGGGACCCTGGGTGCCCCCCCAGACCCAGGAGGCACCAGTCACTAAGCCAGGGGGCGCAGGCCCCCCCACCCCCAACATGGTTCCTAGCAGACCCGCAGGTGCTACTGGTCCACTTCTGGGCTTGCTGCTGAGTGCACTGGGGACCCCCCATGCTTCTGTGCAACACTCCATGTGCCCCAGCATCACAGCATTCACAAGCCCCTGCTACCTAGAGATATGTTAAAAAAAAAAGATTTACAGCTGTGTCTGTGTCCAAATTGATTCAGAGTGTTCCGATTTGATTTGGAGAGATTAAAGAGTCCTCTCACTCGATTCGGAGATTCAGTCACTGAATTAAATCAGGGCCCAAAGCTTCACACAGCCCTAATAACTAGGAGCAATGGGTTGAAGTTATTGGAAAATTAAGGTTGTGTATCAGGGAAGTCTTTCCCAACAGTGAGACTGATTAGCCTGTATAATTGGTTCCCAAAGGAGGTGGCAAAAATAACTTTGTTTATGGTACAGTATTTAAAACCATCTACACAAAATGCTACTAAGTGTGCAATAGGAAACAATGCTACATTTACTCCCAGAAGACAAGCTAGATGGCTGAAGAGGTGCTTTCTTCGTTAACATCTGAGGAATGCTGCCTCACTGTAGTCAAACACCACTTACCTGTCCATCTATTACCTGTACCCCAGTTTGACGCTCTGCTGCATGTTAGGAAAGGCACTGGGGCTTTGTATTGGAACTGTATGTTGAAGAAAGCTCGGACTAATAAAAACTTGAGTGCTAATAAAACTTTACTCATGACTAGAAACTACAAGACAGCTGTAGATGGTGTCAAGATACAGTTAACAACTGTTTAAAGAAGTACTATTTGCCCATAGCATTTGCCAGAAGGCTTCAAGTTAAAAGGTAGGCTGGCAACTTGAGAGGCTGAAACTTTCAGATGAACATTTCTAACACCTACATTACTGTAAAAGAGGTAAAAAATGCTCCCAAAAGTCCACAAATGTACAATCTTTGTGCACCATGCATGCAGTTTCCTGGGGGGTTTTTAATGCGTATTAAATGTAATGGAGGGAGGGAAGAGAAAATGTAACACCATATTTGGATGTGATCACTCTGGAAAGTACATGGGACCCAAAACTGTTCTCAGCTCAGCATTTTATAATAGCTATATTTCAAGTGCTCCTTTTAAACAGGAAAGTATATAAGCAGCTTCATGGACAGCTGCTTTCAAAGGCAGGCAAAACACACAAAAGCTCATGAATTTTACTGCCTTATAACACAGCACATTTACCAGCATACTAGCATGCACTGAAATCCTGAGGAATTCCTGCTCTTGAAGGCCAAGGGACCAAGTCCGCATAGACTCTCTGTACTACAGAAAGCAACAGCATGATTTGAAGGTCTTAAATCCCATGGATTTATTCTGACAGTTCACAATTTTTCCCTGTTAAGATTCAACTCCCCTTTCCCTGCTTAATCAATCAGTTGCCCCTGGTTATCAGACTGCTTCTGACCTCCAAAATTTAGAAGATAAAGGGTTGGAGAAATGATAGAACCAAGGTTATATAAATGAATGACCTCATTTGTATTATACCAAGCTGATAGATTATCCCCTCTCCCCACACCAGGAACACCTCCCACTTATCTCCTGGAGGAGCAGTGGGTCCCCATCATTAAAGAGGAACATCATACCAGTGCAGAACTCTTTGCTATTGTTTTGGGGTACGATGATCCGTCTGTAGACAATGGGCTCTGATTCCAGGATATTCTCATCATGCCGGTAGCGAGCTGGCTTCTCATTTGGGGTGCTGCGGGAGCGAGTGCCACTCCTCCTCTCATACGTGTCGATCTCCTCAAACACGGCTGCCTTGTCAAAAAGTGCCAGATTCCCTTCAAAATCAAAGTCAGTGTCAGGGAGTTCTTCAATGTCATCCCCAAAACACTCATCGTCTTTGGTCTTCATCTGCCCATTCTTCAGGCCACTCTTCTTGGGAGTCACCTGGTTTGGATGACGGCTACTGGATGACCCTAAACAAGAAAGCAGACAGGATGAAACCTGGGTCACAAATGATAAAGATGTTCAGCCATTATCCATGTTTGATGACCATGATGCTGAGTGACTAGCTCTAGCCCCGTACAGAGGCAGACACTGCGCAGGTTTCCCCACAGAGCACTTTTGATACATCTGAATCTGGCTGACCAGTTACTCCTTCCTTTTTATGATTTATCTTACAAATCTCACCATTGGCACAAACGATGCAACAGGTAAGTACCCACTGGAAAAGAGGCAGAGGCTCCA